CATATCGCCGCAAACGTAGGAGTGAGAGCAATAATTTTAGAGCCATTAAGGCCGGGTTCACACCTGGGCGTTTTACAGCGCTGATCAATGCGCTGTAAAATGCCCAGCAAGTGAAATCCCATTATTTCCTATGGGCATGGTTCCCACCTGGGCGTATTTCAGCGCGTCAGAACGTCACAGGTCGGCTCAGTAGATCGGGAAGTGAGCGAACACATACAGGCGTTCACTCACTTCTCGATCCTGTCACGGCTCTCTGCCATGACAGGGGAGGGGCTGGATTCCCCCCTCCCGGCTCCGATCCTCCAGAGCTGAATGGCGGAACGGACGGGGGAGGGGGCCGTTACAGCTGGCTCTGCCTCTAGAAAGGCAGAGCCAGCTGTCACTCACGCAGCTGGGCGGAGCTGGGCGGATCCACACATAATTGTCGGGATCCACTTCAGCTGCGGCGTCTCAGTATACCGCGAGCTGTAGCTTACTATATACTGAGCTTAGGGTAACGGGAGAACGCTAATTTGTGTCCTCCCGTTACCCTAATGAGAACTATGGGGAAAAGCCCTAACCCCATAATTCTCCTTTAATCACTGATACCACGAAATTGATGAACAGTAAAAGCGTTTTAATCGTCGCCTATGGGCGTTTTTTGCGATTTTGCGGGCGCACGCAATTTTAAGGCTTGACATGTTTGGTGTCTATTTACCCGACGTGACCCTGACTTTTATGTTTTACTAAATATATGGGTAAGAATAAATGTTTTATAACATAACGTAGGGAAACTTTTTTTTTTTTTACATTTATGGTACTTTTTTCATTATATAGTTAAAAAAAATCAGATATAATTTGAGGATCAACAGCCGAGTGATACACAAATAAGATACATTTTCGTTAATAGCTAAGGTACTTGAATGCATTAAGATTTAACTCCTGTGTTTAGTGTCACTTTTTTGCAATTTTATTCCCACATAATGCGCTAGATGTTGCGCTTGGTGTCAGGGCCGGCCTTAGGCCTTTAGGCGCCCTGTGCGAGAAAGATGTTTTTTGTTTATCAGTTCTGGTGGGTCTCTCCTCTCCTGCATTCACAGAAAAGGACACCTTAGGTGGATGCTTTTTGGACTTTTTGTATTCCTATTCTGTACACAGTACTATTGTTGATATTTTTGTTCTTCTGTGTATATATATATATATATACACACACACACATACATTTTTTCCACACACACACACCATGCACAATATCACTTTATTATGCAGCTAAGAAGACGCTTCCTTCAATTTCTTTGTCATGTGTTAAAGCCCTTCATTGCCTCTCAGCCATTAACCATGGTATTGACACATAAACCCACACCTTATTCTGCAGCGAAGGGTTAAAGGCTCTTCTGCTGCAAATGGAACACAACACTATCTTCAGGGATTTTAATAAATGTAGGGAACACTGCTAGAAAAAGAGTTGCTGTCCAAATAGACTGACATACACAGGCCAATGTAGCCTCTAATGACAGAGTAAGATAATGACAGGCCCTACTCCAAATCAGCAGGAAGAGGAAGATCAATCTCGCTAGAGTGAAAGAAAAATGCAGCCTTTCCCCCACGTCTGCTCATCTCATACATATCTATCCTCAGCAGCTGCTCAGTACTGCAGCGCTCTGCATTAACTACACAGAGGATCAATAACAATTACACCTTCTCAAAAACATGACACATAGCGGGATGGGGCTGACATTTCACTTAGGCCAACACTGATCTCAGTTCATCTGATTCCAGCCTTAAATTCGTGTCAAGCCCAGGTCTACTTGGAATAAGTCCAGGGTTAAAATAAAAAAAAAACACGCAAAGAAAAAAAAAAAAAAAAAAGGGGCTTTTTTTTAACAAGAAAACAAAACTAACACAGTCAACTAACACAGTCTGCTGTCTGGGGACTTTTAGAACAGAAAATATCTGCTGAAAGATTTGTATTGTCAAAAATAAATATATAAAAGAAGCTGAAAAATATTATGCTGCCTGCAATGGAAATATCAGTAAACTTTTGGATGTTGCTGGAGATGAGCCTTTGGAACAGAAAGTAAATCAATGAACTGCTAATAGAATACAGGAAACATTCTAACTATGACAGAAGTGAAAGTCACCCATAGCTTTAGTCTGAATCTTATTAACTTGAATAGGCTTTTCACAGTGCTCCTGAGGGCAGCGGCAGCCTCTTTTAGGGACCAATAACACCACATCCAGATTATCTCCAGACCAGACCAGATTGTTTCCGGACCCAAAACACATCCTAATTTATCCATATGTTATTTCTAGCCTCTGTTCACACCAGCACAGTCCGTTCCAGACCAGACCAGAAAGATACTGCATGTCTCATTTTGTCTGGTCTGGAACTGCGGGCAGGTACACACCATTTTCCAGACCAGATGTGGTCCAGATCTAGTCCGGAAAATGGTGTGAACCTACACATTGGATTAAGCCATGCTGGGCAACCTCCATATCATGCTCTAGGGTCCCTGGGTTGGGTTGCAGTGACCTCAGAGAGATGGGGCGTTGCTTGGAAATTGGAAATATACTGCCTGCATTTTCACAATCTTCCATTTTGAAAATAAAAACACGTGCAATTATAAAAGAGATTTAGCTAATGACTTAGTTGGGCAGCCAGGTACATACGATCAATGCCAGGGCAGCTGAAAGCTACTCGGCAGGTAGGTTTTGCCTGCTAAAAAAATATAGTAACAGCATTGTAGAGTAGAGTGCTGTCCATGATACCTTTTTGAAAATTTGCTCTCACAATTGTTTGTTAGTAAAAGATTTCGAGGGGCCAACCTCTTCTTCCAGGTCCAAACAGTACTGTTGTTGGTTAGACCCCTAAAAGCTTGTCCTGAAAAATTAACTGTTATGGCACACAAAAAGTATCATGGACAGGACCCATCCCCCCATGCCCTCTGGGAGTTTGCAATGACTCATGGGACTTGTAGTTCCACTGAAGTGAAACAGTTGAATTGGAAAGGTTGCCTACCTTGCTTGGTACCCAACTGTGTTTCTTCAAGTGCACTAAAATGACTACAATCACCCAACAAAATTTTCAAGTTTAAAGCAGAATTTCAGGCACAAATTTGATTAACCCTACCCTCTTACTGCAAGGGTTAACTGCTCACTTTTTTCAAGGTAAAAAGTTATACTCACCTAATCCTAGGAGCTGGCATTGCTCTCTCCAGCCTGTCTCCTCCTCCGAGGCAGTGATGGTATGTCCCTTGGTGTCCTCACGTCCTATACACAGTGAATAACACATGATGACTCCGGGACCTATGACCACTGCAGCGGAGGGGGAGAGAGGCTCCAGGGACCGGTCTAAGAGCAACCCAGCTTCAAAGATCAGGTGAATATAACTTTTTTTTTTAAGCTAGACAAAAATGAACAGTTAACCCTTGCAGTGCAGGAGTAGCCTCGCTGCAAGGGTTAATTAAATTTGTACCTGGAGTTCTGCTTTAATCATACTGCACCTTAAAAAAAAAAACTTTGTAAATTCATGCAATCTATAATATGCGTGAAACCTAATCTTTGTTTCATTAAGAAGAGCCACCTTGGACAGAAGTATTGTCACCCTGTGGAGAGGATAGTGTTAGATGGACAAGCAGATTTAAATGGACTTGACTAACAAATTAAATTTGAACTCTAGATAATTATTAAGCAGTTACAGCAACAGTTATTTCCTTCTGGGATAACGTTATTACATATATGAATAAAAGCTGACCATTCGGAGCACCCCTGTCAGTGTAAAATGTTCACCTAACCTAAACCCTCTATGTGCCACTTTTGCTGGACAGCTTGGTCTGTTATAGGAAGTTGAAAGATAACAGCCTTACTGGCTGGTTCCACAGGTAAACATAAAGGAAAAAAAAGTCTAAAAAAGGTAACCAATGCAGCCACCACATTAAGGGACTGGTAAGCTGCAATATATATTTTTAGATACACTTTACAGATACATCAAGTCAAAACTAAGCCCTGGAGTGCATCACAGCCACCACATTCAGTATTTCAGTTTTTTTCATCCAGGTATTGCTGGAATATATCTGCCCACTCCAGAAGGACTTCATCATTCTGTGCGCATCACATTTGCCTGTGTTGTACATTTCATCTGTGCAAAAGTAACATGCTGGCAAAATAAGTTGTCCATGACCTCAGCTTTAACGCTGTTTTATGCATAAGCATTAGTCTACTTGTATTCGTTTATATGTGTGTAAATGCATGCCATTTAAGCATAAGGCATGCTGCACTGGGCACGTAGAATCTGAGCTCACGTTGACACCCACAGCATGTTAACTTGCCTCCAGTGCTGTTCCTGTGCAATAATATACTGTATCACAGATCTGTGTTGGAATCAATCAGCACCAAGATTCAGGCACCAAAGTCTACTGGCCTGTACCTCTGCCCACTATTGACATTGGAGTTATAAACTAATAATGGAGAACTGTAAGAATGTGGGTATAATCAGTGGCATATGCATAAATACAGGAAACCCTTGATCTTTTACCAATTAAATCTAGGATACCCACTCCGAACCTAGTCTTGCACGTCAATTATTGAATTCAAAAATAGTAACGATAGTTAGGGTTCTCCATCTGTCCTGGCACAAGTCCCAGCATACCAACAGTAGTAGACCTAGTCCTAGACACCATTTGCTGCACTAGATTGAGAGCCACATGCTGACCAGTGTTTGACTTCTATGAGGATCATGTAAAAAGCAATGTATACAGGCAAAGTTCCTAGAGACCGGCCTAGTTTCTTAGAGGTTGCATTACGTTCTGGAGTTTCAACACTATTTTTACTCTCAAACTACCTTACTGAATAAGTCCAACACAATCTATGAAGAGCCAGCGAGAGAGGACTGAAGGAGAGATGATCCACAGTACAATTAATTAAGCACAACGTCATCGAATGGTTTATTTTTAACACGGAAGGGGAAGAGGCGTTTTTGTTAAATTGTAAAGCCAATAAAAGGTGTTTAACAAGTGACTCACAGTGACGTCTATGTTGATAATGTCTCCATCCTCAAGAGGTCGGCTTTAAAAAGAAAAGAAAATTACACATGTATAAAAGCCACTGATAACTACACTTCTATTTTAAGTCTATGATAAGCTGGGCAGTTAATACAGTAACATGTATAAGTTAATTTAAAGACAATGAAGAATATTTCTACAATACAGCTCAAACATATCAATCTGTATCAAAACCATAAAAGCCAATCATACGCATGCTCAATTATGTAAAAGTCTACCATTTTCACATGATACAGCAAATTCAAGTATTGTTTAGAGTAATTAGACGGTATCTGAGCTAATTGAACCTGTACTTTTTGAATAAAACCATATGACGTCACAGGGGAATATAGTGTGACATTGACATTTTCTTTATTGATATTATCATCGCTTTGACCATTTTTAAAAATGATTATGTAAATTTTAGGGTATAGGAAAGGAACAGTTACAGGTTCTACCTTTACTATAGCCCTGTCTTGCATATAATAAAAGTGGTTATAACCCAAAATAAAAGACACATTACAGTCTCCAAAACTTTTTTTTATTACAATGTATGCTTTTTTTTAATAAAGGTGGCATTTGGTTGAAAATACCTGTTGATGCTGACAGCGACTCACTCTCCCTGCTTTGCGGTGGCAACAACATGCAGGCTCATCTAGCCTAGGCAGCGTTGCCTTTGCATTACCAATGCACCAAATCCGTATGAAAAAATTAAAAAAGCCATGTCTATGACTGTGACATGTCATGCTTCCAGCTGCCTAAGTCACAGGAAAAACTACCTCATGGAGTGGATCAAATCACTTGATTGACAGCGGCTTTCACAGAGCCTCGCTGTCATTTATGCTCACAGCAGTCCTGTAAAGCCAATCATAAATACTAGGCTCCACATTCTGCCCTCAGTGCTTAGAAAATAGAGGACCGATAGTGGTCACGTGACCACTAATAAAGCTTTACAAAACAGGCTTTTCAGCTAATTTTGTGATGTATCTTCCACTACTATGATTCAATGAAGGTATGTAAAAGTAGTTATCAATTGGCAGCCTCTGGGATTACATGCACTTTAAGCTCTACCCAAGTACTCCTTTCCCAGCCACATTTCCCCTATATCCCCTCTCCTGTTTCCTATACTACTCCACTTCTGGCTGTATCTTCCCTATACTGCTCCAATACTGGTTGCATCTCCCCCCATACTGCTCTTTTTCTGTCAGCATCTCCCTCATACTGCCTTCTCTTCTGGCTGCATCTCCCCCATACTTCCCGGCTTATGACTGCATCTCCCCCAGCCACATCTTCACCATGTTGCTCCGATCCTGGCCACATCTCCTTCAGAGTGCCCATCTCCTAGCTGCATCTCCCCCAACCTGCTCCTCTCTTGCCCGCATTTCCCCCTTACTGCTTAAAAGAAAGATCCATGGTGTTTCAGTAATGTAAACACTATGCCTTGTTGATGTGGTTGGCCATATATGGCCAGCTGTGGCCAGTGATCAGATTACACAGTACTTCCCTGTCAATGCCAATCACTGCCCACAAAACAGCCCAGGAAATACACTTGAGCCACATGGAATTATGGCATATGTAGTTTAGGGAAATAACGTGTGCAGCGCAGTGGAAGATCCTTCTGGTGCTGATGACATCACAGGTGGTTCTAACAGCATTTTATGGCAATACAGGCAAATATTTAAAAAATTAAAAGTGTGGGTGTAGTGGAAGTAAACATTTGGAGGAGCTGAGTTGGAGCTGTGCTTTAATTTATACTGTAAAGTGTATTCATATTTAAATATATTAGTCTTCTTGGTAATTCAAGTCAATTATTCCAAGCGGAGGTGTACAATTTTTTCATAGCCAAGTAGGAGTTCTCCCCTATACATTTGCCTATAGTCAGGGAGTTAGATTGTTTTCATTACCTTGAAATTCAATGTTTAGGAGTAGTGCTCTAGATCAAGTAAGATTATTTCAGGTTTTTTGGTAGTATATCTATTGTGATGCTTGTCATATTGTCAAGAACTGTGCTATACCAATGGCATGATAGCTATATGAGATAGCACAAATCCTATAGATTGAGAACTCACAGGGAGAGAGCCCTCTCTTCTATTCTTACTTGTTATGTGTACAACTGTGTGTACCTGTCTTTGAAACATTAGTACTGTATTACCTGTACTACCCTTCCTTGTTATATCATTATTAGTATTGTGTACAATACCACCTGCGATGGCACAATATTACTAAAAACAATAACTATAATAATAACACTGGACAACAATTTTTCTCAAAAGTTTTTCTTCCTGAACTTCCACAAACTTTTTGTGCTCATGATGAACTCAAAAATTATTTCAGAATCACTGTATCACATAGGAATCTTGAGAAACGTGAAACTAACTTTAATCACTAGAACGTGTTTAATCACATAATGTTATTTTATATATAATGCATAATTTCCAATATGTAGCACAAGTTCAAGAGGACCAAAAGTGTTTTGCTTCTGATTTGTGTTTCTACTCAGTATCCGGTGCATCTCGTTGTAGTGTGCAAAAACACTCGGCCAGCACTGATAGATTCCAGTTGCTCCGACATATCAGTGCTGGCTGACTATTGAAACCAGATGCACTGGACTCTGAGTACAAATGCAAGTCAGTAGCCAAACACTTCTGAACTCATGCTATGAATTAAAAGTTAATTTCATGTTTCTACATGACACAGTTATTCTGATATTATATTTGTGTTCAGCTTCAAAAGAGTCTATCCTAACCACAAAAAGTTTTTCAGGAAACAAAGCTTTTAAACAAATTGTTGTCCAGTGTTAGTAAACTTAAAATGTGACAAGTAAATATAAAAATTAAAGATTTTTTAAAAATGATACACGATAGGTTAAATTACACTTTATTGTCGTGATTAGCAGCCCAAAATCTATAAGATACACCCAGAATTGTTTAAAAAGAAAAATCTCTGATGTCCTGCAGCGGATCTATTCAAATCAGAAGGGATGTAGTCCGGCACTCGCATTTACAAACATTGATTAAAGTAACTACTAGACATGATGCTTTGCCTTTGTTCATATTAACCAGCTATGTAAACGTTTTATGCTCTCCCCTTGATTGTGTGGGTTTCCTTTGACTGCTCCAGTTTACAACCAGAATCCAAAAAATTACCTTATCTTATAACATTTTTTTTTCCTAGAGTGTGTATGTGTGTACAGCTGGCCACACTTAAAGAGCTCTCTTGTTCAGATCAGAATTTTATCAGTTTCACAGGAATTGGCCAAAATTCCAGCCATGTATAGCCAGCTTTAGTGGCATAAAACATAGATGAGACAGGGGCCTATATGAATGCTTTTCGTGTACCCTGTAAAGCAGGGTAAATGTATACCAGTGGCGTCACAAGGGGGGGTGCGGCCTGAACCCAGGTGACACCAAAATGACTGACAGTCATTTTGGTGTCACCCCCTCTGAAAAGTTAGGGTCTTGGTCATGGTGCGAGAGCCCGACAGTTTCGGGAGAGAGAAGGGGACCTGGCAGCATACCTCATCCCGCCGGATGACTGTCCCCTCCTCTCTATCTCCAAGATGGCCGCCAGCAGGTATCAATAAGATGATCGCGCATGCGCGATGACGGTAACCACTCTGGGGTGACACCCGGCCTCGGGACGCCCCTGACCAGCACTATATAAATCAGGAAAATAAATGTTGCTGGTTAATGTAGTTGGTGGGGTTTCTAAATGCACAGAATTTAACCGGCTTTTATTATTTCTAAGTAACAACACTGAAGATCGCTGATCTGGGAATATCTGATTGCGTTAGAGGATCGGGAAGGATTTTTTCCCCTCTGATTAACTGTGGGTTTAGAGTTCTGTATATGCAAATTTTCAATCTATTTATGTATTCATTTTCTATTGCTTGAACTTGATGGACTTGTGTCTTTTTTCAACCTTACTATGTAACTACTATATGTAATGTCCTCCCTATAAGATACTGTGTTATTTATAAGGAAACACCAGTCTAACAAAAGAAAAAGTAGTGATTTTGCCCATATTAATCATTATAAAGCATTTTTTCATTTTCTAACTTAAAATTAACTTAATTGAACTGCTACGTGCAATATCAAGGTATAGTACAGACACACACTAGTGTGCTTATATGACCTGAGGCTTTTTTTGTTCTATGCTTTTTTTCTATGATGATGGATGTAGATATATACTGTATATATATAGATATATATATATATATATATTTTATTTTTTAAAATTTATTTATATTTGCAGTATTGTCTTTTTATGAACATAAATTATGTCACCAGGGCATGTCCGGTATCTAAAAAATTGGGCATAATAAAGGAGGCCTGTTTTTGCCAGTCTTAGAAAGCGGGACAGTATGTAGACAAATACATTGATTTAAAAAGCAGCAGTACCTGTCCGGAATTCCATGGCAGACCACATTATTCACTGAAGTGCACACTGACTTGGGGAACCCTCCATAACCTAATGGAGATGGATAAGCATTCCGACTGATAATGTTCTCATGTACAAATGCATCTATTTCCTCTGTTGTCATGCCAACCTGGAACAGAGAGGAAACGAGAGACATATACTATAACTTGTGTCAAGGTATAATCTGCTAGGTGCACACATAAATAGGTACAGCTGAAGGCTGGAAATAGGTAACCGCAATGGCTATATGATTATGTGAAAACAAAACAAATGTTGCAATATTAAACCATCCAATTTGTAGCCAAGAAACATCCAATAAATCCTGATATTATTTTTGGTCTACAAGCCAAGGACATCACACTTTAAATATACTCTAATTACATATACAATGCATTTTAACATAGTTTTGTTTTCTTAAAGCTGAACCTCTGGCAGATAATAAACATTAGAGATAAACTCAGGTTTGGACCAACATTTCCCGCCGGCAGTTGATTAGGTCACATTCTCTGGTCCGGGTTGGGTGAATGGGGAAGAATTCACATTCGATGACACAATGAGGTTAACAGTGAACTCTTCTTGTGCTTTATTTGTAAGTGGTTAGGGAGGCTATCACAAGAAAGCATATAATATAGACGGGGTACCACAACAGCTGTAGGTATGGTAATTCATGTTTTGTCATCCATATATTAGTCCAAATCAAGCAAAAACCACGTATATGAATGTTTTTAGATCATTACATTTTAATAAAAGATGCAAATACATTTTTGGGTATTAACTATAAGGCCTCTTGCACACTAGCAGACTGCATTCAAGCAGAAGAGAAGTTACCTCTAAGTATAAACAACTTTATGCTTCCAGTTTACATGCGTTTACGTGCTTTTAGCTGCATAAAACCGGGTTAATGGCATTCGGAACACAGAAATGTATACTTTGGGTTAACGTTTCTAGACTGAATGCACCTGCTGGATGTCTAGGTGTTCATTCAGTCAAAGAAAGCATTACATAAGTCCAGGTGCATTGAGAAATGAGCTCCAAACGGACCTGAACTCAATGTTTTTCTGCGTAGTGTGCATGAGGCCTAAACTGTTTTTATGATGTAAGCAATTAAATTAACCTTTTTCCCTAAATTAACTCTTTAGGGCAGGTTCACACCATTTTCCATTGTGTTTTTACCGCGATTTTGCCGTGATTGGAAATGATAATTTTTTGCTTAAAATGGTCTTACAGGTGCGTTTTTGATGCATTTTTATGCGTTCCAGTCCATTCCAGACCAGACAAAATAGGACAAGCAGTATTTTTCTGGTCTGGACTGGAGCAGACTGTGCTGGTGTGAACAGAGGTCAGAAATAGAGTACATTAGGATGCATTTTGAGTCCGGAAACAATCTGGTTTGGTCTGGAGATGATCCGGACATGGTGTGAATGGGCCCTTAAAAACAAGAACATCTAAAATCAATTTAAATTACAACTATGGTTGTTTGTGGTCCAATCACCCTTTCATAATTAATAATAAGATAAATGTACAAGATAAATAGAATAAACTAATAATCTATATGTATATACAGGGCTCGAAAAATCCACTCGTCCACTCGTCTGTGACGAGCAGACAGTGGAGCCCGACGAGCAGCTTCCCTGTGACAGGAGATCAAAGGGGGTTCAGTATACGAACTCCCTTTGATCTCGGTAGCAGCATTTGCCCTGTGATGTCACAGGAAACATGTGACCAGGAAGCAATATGGGCGTTTTTTGCGATTTTGCGGGCGCACGCAATTTTAAGGCTTGACATGTTTGGTGTCTATTTACCCGACGTGACCCCGATTTTTATGTTGTACTAAAAATATGGGTAAGAATAAATGTTTTATAACATAGGGAAACTTTTTTTTTTTTTTTAACATTTATGGTACTTTTTTCATTATATAGTTTAAAAAAATAACCCCCCGTGGGGTCACAAAACAAAGCTCTATCTGTCCCCAAAAATTTTTAACATATATTGCAAGGCTATAGTCCGGTCATGCTGACTGGTGACATTTTTGACTGACTGGTGAGACACCGCCAAATTTTTCAAGCCCTGTGCATAAAAAATGTCCATTTGAACTTTAATAAATTGGTCATTTTCTCATGAGAATTTAAAGCTGAACTTCAGGCGGTTACACACATTTCGAATATATTTACGTGGACTGATTTACCTGCCAAATGGCAATTCTGTTGAGCCAGTCTTCTGATACAGACAACCATACCAGATAGCACAGCCAGGTCCGAAAGCTAACTTCTCTTTACAGCTTTGGTCAAGGACCAACCCAGCCTGCTGACTGGACAATGAAGAAACAACTAAAATTGATGAGGTCATCCCTGCGCTCTTCTTACTGCTCTAAGTTTTAGACAGACAGCACTGTGCAAAACAATAGAGTCCCGACTAGCTAAGAACTCTCTCTCAGTCTGAATTTTGCTTTGCAAATGATTGCAGGAAGCTAATATAAAGACATATTTCAGTACCATTTGTAGTTAAAAATCAATGTAAATGTTTTGTATGTATACATATCTAGTTCAAACTACCTTTTTTTTACTTCTGCCTGAAGTTCTGCTTTAACATTCCAATGTGAAAAGGAGAATTGTGTATCTCTTGACTATTTCAAGCATTGGGTGATACGCTCTCTGCGTCCATTACCTTTAAGATTTTTCCAGTCATAAGTAAAACGTGACGAGCTAGCTGACAAGCCTGACGAAGCCCTTCAATCTGATCTTCGTCCTTAATTTCAATGAAGTCTCCCCATTCAGGCACAATGCCTGTCGTCACATAGTCTGGCTTCATTATGTGCTTGAAGGAAAAGGATTGGAAAGGAAGATCACATAAAAAGGCACAACAATGGGATCATTTTCTCAGACAGTCCCCCTACTTCATGGCAGCTTGCCCTTTAAGTTCGAGCAGTGACCTTCATGAGCCACCAAGCAAACCCCCAAGGCTTCTTCAGTGTTCCTTCCACTACCCTTTTGAACTTAACATTGCCTGATACAAGCAGCTTTTACAGTATGTGAACTACAAACTGTCGCACAAGCAAAATACATAGTGCCGAGAATTTCCTGAAACATATTTCTCCAACAAAACCAAACAGAGGAATCCTGAATTTCTCAACAGTAATACCTGTTGTGTTTGTTCTATCACATCAAACTGTCAGGAGTGCTGCAGATAACGGAAACACGATTATTGGAATAATTTGAGTAATGAGTCTGAATTTAGAATTTAGTTATTACAATCTGTCATTTAGTATGACTTTGCTTTCTTTTGCGTTCTCATTCTTAGAATATTGTCATCTTAGAAAATATTGAGAGAACCATTCTCTTCTCTGGTTGGGTAGATAGAACACAGAAGAAAGACATGGTGAGAGCTTTTCTATCGTTCTTCATGGTGGAATGTTGTGTTCTATAATTGCAATCATTTTATAGAAAAAAACTAAAGATCTGAAGGATCGAAGATTTTTTTTTTTTATCGGACCTTACAGACAATTATCAAGAAACAAAATAGAAGGAAGGCAGTATTGTATAGCAACACAATGTGCACCACTCATAGAACACAACCGATTCACCTATCCTGACTATCTAACTGTGAAAGCATCAAGTGAAACAGTGATATCACTCAATCTTATTAGTATTATTAGCATGTAACTCCAATTTTCAGAAAATTTGGTCCATGGCAACACATAGGGATAATAAACATTGCAAAACTATTAATTACATTTGTTGGCACACAATGGTTCAATATTGCTGTGGGGGTCTGTCTAGAATGATCAACAGAGAATTCCTAAAGGAAGCTCTACTCTAGAGCTCAGAGGTCATCTGCAGTCTGATAGTTGATGGCCTGTTCACCGCCTGACCTGACACAATGGGGGTGATTTACTAACCTAAACACACACACACACACCAGGTGTGTGTGATTTTCACACAGCAAAACGTATTTATCAACCAAAAAGTCTCTAAAAGCATATTTCCACTAATGCCATATATGTAAAAATCATGCACATGATGCATATATAATGCTGCTTCACAGTTTAGACAAAAATGGTTAGCTCATGCATTTACATTCCTGCATTCATCAACGCAAGCAACACAACATAGAGCTAATTTACCCAACATCACCTTGGAATTCCTTCAGGGCTTTGCACAACACACCTGCTGGGTGTGTACACATTACAAAGGTGTTTAGATTCCACCCATAGATCATGCTGGGAGGGAACACACTGCAGAGGTGTATACACGTTCGTGGTGTGTTTATAAGGTTAGTAAATCAACCCCAATGCTTCCAGTCCTCTGATTGCACAGTTTGTGACGTCAGGCAGATGACAGACAGAAGCGGTCAGATTTTAGGTGACCTCTGACCCTCTGACCCCTGACACTCCATCTAAAGTGTCAGGCTCTGACAAAGTAAGGACACTAAATAAAGATAATTTTTTTAAAATATATATATATATATAAACAAGTAAGTCTTCACAATCATAATAACTAAACACTCAGATTTGATATTCTCCTCAGCAAGATTTATTATAAATGATTAAATAGAAAAAGTATATGAATAGAGAAAAGGTATTAGGCAATTAAAAGATTTCCTTCAATGGCTCTGAGTAAGCACCTAGATCAGCGGTAGGCAACCTTCAGCCATCCAGCTGTAGTAAAACTACAAATTCCATGATGCATCTGCCTCTGGTAGTCATGCCTGTGGCTGTCAGATTCGTACAATGCCTAATGGGATTTGTAATCGCACCACAGCTGAAGGGCCAGGGTTTGCCTACCCCTGACCCAGACAGAGGATACATAGTTACATAGTATTTGAGGTTGAATAAAGACATTAGTCCATCAAGTCCAACCTATTAGGATCTCATTCTAGGAGTACCTGTACCCCTGTATATTACGGTCCCTTAAGAAATCGT